TAGAAATTCTTAAATTGATTACCAGCCAATTTATGGAAAATAAAAGTTATCATTCAACTGCCCAGTGATTACAAAAATGAATTTGTTGGTAGTGATATATTTGGTTTCAATTTTGAATTAAATATTAGCTGGTTAGATAAAGTCCTACCTAGCTCATTTGATGGTGGTTCAGACATGTGCAGAATACATTTAAATAAATACAGTAACAAAATACCAATCAATAAGGTGACTTTTAGTTTTATAAACTATATGCTGATAATTAAGAACTAGGCCAACTTAGGCCTAGCCAGCCTTTAGCGTACTGCACATGATCATGAGTGATTTCATTAATTTAGTAATGTACTAGCATAGCAGTATAGATAGTAGTAGTGTATAGATAGGGCCAGCTGGCTTACATCAATCTCAACCTAGGCTAGGTTACAAACAATGATCTGGCCGGAAACAATCCAGGTGTTTGGCAGGGACCGACCGCGACAATTGGTCTAGTCTAGCCAGGGAGTTGTAACAACTCCCTTGTCTAGCCTAGCTAAAGGCCTAGGTAGGCATGGAGTAATTATTTTGAGAACTTAATGGGCTAGGAGGTACACCTAGGCTTGTCCTGGACCTAGTTCCTAGCCATAGCCAGCCTAGTTAGGGCCTAACTAGTCTAGGCCTATAGAATTTAGCATTCTACATTAGGCCTACCATATATTTCCAGGCAGGTGCTATTGATTTTGACTCCTCTTCTATTTAATTTGTAACATGGCCGTCTCTGGCAGTGTAGGGGATTCCCCAAACATGATGACGTAAGTTCTTGAACGTTCGGCCGGCGCAAGCGCGTTTACGATACAACAGCCCATTCGTGCCGAATCTGTGTCAGCGAAATTTCGAATTACTAATTCGTAATTTCCGATTTAGTAGGCATAATTCGTAATCTCGAATCTGTGGACGCTAATGCTCCATTAAACGCTGCACCAAATGTGGTTTTTTTTTCGTATGAAATTAGTTGTCTTCAATGTTAACAAAATGTATTTATTTATTTAAAGTACAGTACCACTTAAAGTAAACAAACTTTATTGAAATACCTCAACCTACTGTATTGTTAGTCATATTCATAAACTTGAGTATTTAGTTCATACTTCAATTAAATTTTATAAGGTAATCAATTTTAAGCCTTTGTTAAATACTCCTAATTTTGATTCTGTTAAACTATGTTTAGGTAAAGACCGGTGGTAGAGTACCCTAATTATTAATTTGTTTAAAGATACTGTGCAACTTATATATTCTGATATTGATTGTTTATTTATATAATTGTTTATTTACTGAATAATGAGCCTAACCATTCTTTCTCACTTTCTCTCTCCCGCTCTCTCCTGAAATTACCCATTTTCAAGCTTAATTATATACTGTATTAAAAAACAATATTGGCATAGGACCATAATTCTAATTATACGTTTACAGCTGAAATTGTATATGCCCACCCTTATTTTTCTTTATACCTGTAGGTTATTGTTTGGTTTCTCATCCTCTAATTTTCAAATTGTTCTGTAATGGTAATTATTTAGCATTGAATAATATACATGCCTCTAAACTGCCTTGCCTTTTTAAAATGAATTTTTGATTCACCTTAATTTGTATTTGTTTATTTTCATGTCACCTATAATATCACTTTATTTATATTACTTTATGTTATATGCTTTGCTTTTCAATTGATTTACTTACATTATTGTTTAATTTAATCATTGTCTGTATATATCTATAATAAAAAATCCTAAGACTGGACTAACAGGCCTGAGAGCCAGAGTGTTTCTCACACTATAGTTAATCCTAGCCAACTAAGGTTATATATTGTCTTAGTTTTTGTTAAATTTCCTTTCATTTTATTTTATGTTATTTCATGGGCTGAATAAAGAATGAATGTATGAATGAATTATTTAAATTCAAATTCACAACTACGGTAAGCCTCAGTGGCCCACAGGTTAGTTGCATGGGGCTATGGTTATTCAATTATCATGGTTTTATATAAATTAAATTTTGATGAAAATATCCCGCCATTTTATTTTAGTTGCCCCGTCATTCGACACTATTTATAATAATAATAATAATATGTCGTTCTTATATAGCGCTTAATGCCTTAACAAAGCCTCTAAGCGCTTCACATTATTACCTTTCCCCCTTAATAGTGGTGTTTGTCTTGTTTTTTTAAATGTTTGATTTATTTTTGTACTGTAAATTGTTCCATCCAATCACTATATACAGTAGGCCTATGTTTGATTGCAATAAAGTTTAATTTGAATATAATCATTATTATTATTATTATCATTATTATTATTATTATTATTATTATTATTATATTAAACTAAACTACAACTCTGAAAGGTAACTTACATTCTTTTTCTTATTATTATTATTGTTGTTGTTGTCGTTCTTTCGCGTTTTTTTACTTCTATGACAATTTAGCCTCATTTTACCTTATTTAAACCTTGTACACGTTCATGTTTATAATTAGTTTATTTTTTCTTGTTTTTACTTTTATGACATAAATTGTTTAAAATTATTTTGTCTGACATGTATTTTAAAGTTTTACTTATTTAAATGTCCACTGATGCTTTAATATTGTTTCTCCCAATCTCTTTATTCTTGAATTTGTATTATTATTATTGTTCTTGTTGTTCTTATATTTAGACACCCCATGGTTGGGGTTGAAGTACCCCACCATGGTTTATGATTATGTCACCTCTAGATGCCGAGAAATGGCACTCAGACTTAAATTTGTACATAAATTTGACAAATTTAGTGAGCCAGACCAGTGCTTCCCCCTCCCCCATTAAATCTACCACTGACAATTAATTAATGCCTAAATTACAATTCAGGAGTCTGTAGAATCAATGTGAACTTCAAATTGTGTTCCCCTGTTAGCACCAGATTTGTTTTCCCACAATACCAGGCCTAAAGTCAACATGAGCTAAACAAGGATATTCAAGTTATTTTGATTTATTTGAATCTTTTGTGCTTGAACTGTAGCCAACACAGTAACTCTCTTCATTCTTAATTTCCTTCTGTATGCATGCTTGTATGTAGCATTTGGCAAGGTAGTGCTAATATAACTACGTAGCAGTTACCACTACAATAAGATATGAACAAAATAAGCAACAATACAATCTCTTTTTTGTTTTCAAAATTGCAAGTTTGAAGATTCCATAATTGACTTATAAAAAAATAAATTTCTTTATACTGCAAGTTTCACAAAATACCGTCATTTGTATAATATTGGTGTTGAGGGTTCAAACAAGGTAATTCAACAGAAGGACGCACCGTCTCCGCTCTCGAACATAGCGCGTGCGTACAGTCCTTTGATCTTTACTGTGGCATCGACAATCCGATATTAGTCTATGCCCGCCATTCGTTTTATGGTGTTAGTTTTTATTTTATTAATTTTGGGTACTTCGCAACGTCTGTTACATCTGATTTTTTTTGACCGCGAGCTTGTTAAATGCTTCTATAAACTGCAATTTGATTTGTGAAAATTTACCAAGAAAATAAAAAGTTATAGCAATTTAAAATTTACGAATTTTATAAAATTTCATGTTCTTATGTAACATTAATCTGTCATTTTGACAATGTTGGCATAAGGTGCCGAAAACGAACATTTGAGTATATACAGAACATTTATTAATTTTTTCTGCGAAGTGAGTCTCATGAACGACAATTCACCACAAATTTTGTAAAATTAATGTTGAAATGAAGAATATGTTTCAGTCTAATGTTAGTGCAAAATATCATTAGGCCTTTGTAATCACCGCACGATGCGCGATTATCATGGCAACTAACACGCGAGTGGGTAATTTGTCCTTGATTTGTCACATATGCTGACGGTTTATGGTCTGGTTGCTATGTTGTTTTTTTTTTAGGTGCAAATTTGTCATGGCTTATTTATTAATTAAATATTGTGGCTGCCTTTCATCAATATTTGATGGTAACACCAGGCCTGATATTCCATGTCAACTGATTTTTAGTTACATTAAAATAAAATGTTGCCTGTTCTCTGTAGCTAAGTTGTTGATAATTAATGTATATTTAAGTATTTTTCTAAAAAAAAATAAACAAGAAAAATAAATAAATAAAAAGAAAATTTAAATAAAATGAAATAACCTTTAAAAAATATAATAAGTTAAATGCAGAAAAGGTTGTTTCTCTTTGTAAGTGGAAATGGCGCAGCGAGCAGCTCTCTGAGATAGATGCGTGCGCCTTACAAGATGCCATTATTAATATTATTATAAGTAAATTAATACAATATTGAAAATAGTATGTTTTAAATTCCTACTAAAACAACGAAGAAATTTAATTCCAAATAATTTTTAGCAAGATTATTTTATGTTGTATTATAGGTGTCATAGAATCTGAAAAAGCCCCCAAAAATCCAAATCATAGAAAACCATGTTTTCACCAATTTACAAACCTTAAAAAAAATCCTTAAATTGCTTATAAGACAATGGGTCTATATTGTGTGTAAATAAATATACAGTGGAAATAGTTTATGTGTGTCAGTTATAAAGCAAGTAAAATACTTTTTTAAAAATTGAATTAAAACAATAAATTGATTGAAGCTAATATAGTAGCCTATGCTTAACAACTAAGTAATTTTCATTCATTTTTTAATTTTTTAGAATCGCATTTTAAAAGTACTGTACATATTTGCAAAGCAGTAGTCTTGACATTGTCGAAGGTCAGGCACATAAACAAATAATCAAGCCTATCAAAATATGGCAAAAGTGTGATTCTTTAAATTATTTTACCTTTGACATATGCATGTACTGTTGAAACTACAAGTGGCATATTTTTGCTGTATATTGTTTTATATTTTTTTTAATCATTTTTCCTTAATATATGTGTTTGTTATTTTACAAATCTAGACCTTAGGAAACAACTAAGATTGAAATTATATTTTGTATGTTGTTCTTTCCCTTTAGGCAATGTGACTGTAACATTTTTATTTATACTGTATATACTGTATCATATAGGATCATGTGTTGCTGTATTTTTCCTTGCTGTCTTGTACACTAGGATTAAAAGTGATGCAAGAAATGTTGCTACGTCGCTCTGTTGTCAATGTTCGCTACAAGACCATGCAGGTTGCAAAGAGAAGTGAGACTGTTTTGACAGAAACACATGGTACAGAAAAGTAATAAAATAAAAAAACAAAATTATTTAATAATTTTCTGATTTTTAAATTTTTGTTATAAATTTTAATCTGAAAGGAGACAATGCAATACAATTTACTGGCTGGTTGGACAAGATTTCACTGAAGGGAACCTAATCACTATTGCGTTAAAATGTGATCCTCTACCACTTTCTTCACATATAATGTTGTAAAATAAACTTCTTTTTCATGTTTTTATTTAATTTTTTTACAATATTTTAAGAATATACTATAATTTGAAATAATTTGCATTGAGCAAAGGTCATCAACAACCCGAATTCCTATAAACTGTTTTGTTATATATTTGTATTTTAAAAAAAACCAGGTTATAACATTTTTTATTTTTCTCTCTTTTTTTAAAAATTTTATTATATATAAAATGTATTGTATGTATAGAGTTGCCACAGAATGTCTAATCCATTACATTACCCTGATCATTAGAAACATCAATTAATCATGCAATCTTCTGTTTCCTGGAGGGTAATTGCATAAATTCAGCATAGACCAATGCCTTCAGCATTTGGAATATTCACATCAAGTAATTGTTATTCCTGCATCTGTAAGATTATTACACAAAGCAGAAAGTTAAATAAGTGTGGTGGCGCACTTCATTCAACTCAAATGTGTTGTGGAAAAAAAGATCCACAAATCAGAGAGCTATACGATTGTTTTTGTTTTGTTTAAGACTATAATGCACCACGTATTAGAGAGCTTTAAAATGATACCCACATTGCCAGACAGTGGCTGGAACTTCTACATGTACTTAACATTATCAAAATTGCATAAGAGCTCCACCTTAACAGTGATGATTGTTTTTTGCAGAACTCGTTGGCTGAGTGGTGCTCACTTCCTACAGACACTTTTGCATGTAATCCAAGTCACCATCAGCTACTTCCTCATGCTCATCTTCATGACATATAATGGCTGGTTATGCATCGCAGTTGCACTCGGAGCTGGTACTGGTTATTTTTTATTCGGTTGGAAAACAGCCATCGTGGTGGATATAAATGAACATTGTCATTAATCATACCTATATTTTTAAGATGGTATTTTTAAAAGAATGTTTTTTAAAAGTTTATTATAGATGAAGTGATTTTGATATGAAACTTCAACTCCAAAAATATATAGGTTTGTCTGGAACATCAGGTGTTTCAAAAGTGACATTGAAACTGAAGAGGCAACAGATTTTACATTTATTTTAAGCGACTGATTAAATAATCTTGACCAATATATACATTAGATTAGTATTAACATAGTCAGTACTAGGTTAAAATGGAGATTCTCGTACTCTTGGACATCTACAGTAAAAATTCACAACACCTAATTCCAATTCAGTAGTGGCGCCCACTTCTGCTGTTGTCGGGGATATGCCTTCACCCTTCCACTGGGGACATAAAGAGACATCAAAGCCCTGTGAGGCAAATACTGGAGCCATCACTGTTCCCTAATTCCTTACTGGGATCAATTTTCAAAAATGTATAGTCATCCATATTGAAATAATATAAAAAGCAAAGATGATATAGCAAATATGGTTTTTCTTCCGAATTATAAACGTTTACCAATGGTGCTATGTGATTAGTAATTAATTTATGATAACATTGAATTCAAACCCTTAAACCCAGATGCAAATGATTCTTATTGTTTTATTGTTTGTGTGAAAAGATTTTAGTTTTGCATTATTACACTATAATTTGTTATACAGGTATTGTATTCTAATTGATAAATTTATTGTGTGTAGAAATTTACTTTAATATACTGTTAAATGTATATTAGTTCAATATTAAAGTTAATTCCAACAGGGTTGGCGCCAGGATTTTCCTGACGAGGGGGTGAGCGAGGTCCCCCAACAAGGTGTCAGATTTCCCCGACGAAAGCAAAGTGGGCGTGGTCGAGCTTCAATTAAAAGCCCCCAAAAATTTTGACAATTTAGGTGTTTCAAAGGCTTATTTAATCGATTTTATGAGTCTACTAATATGTAAAAAATACATTTTTTTCTCCCCGACGAATTGTGCTTTTTCTCCCCAACGGGGGACTTTTTTCCCCGCTGGCGCCACCCCTGAACTGCAACACAGTAGAAATAGATGTAATGTAAGGTTAAAATTCATGTTGACCATTTCATACCAATCAACTAGCATTTTTCTCTCAGTTTTTTAAACTACATTTTGTTTTTGTCAAATACAATTCATTTAAATAATACACCTGAAAACAATAATTAAATTTTTCTTTTTGATAAACAAAAAGTTTGACCAAATCATAGCAAATATGTAAGTGCTAGTATAATGTTGTTGGGGCTGTTAAGATATATTGTCACCCATGTACCATTTGCAGCTTCTCTTTTCTAAGGAGTATTTTTAGTTGACAGGGGAATTCACTACAGGAGTTTTCATTCCATTTTCTCATGAACACATTTATACTCCTGTGTTGACAAAGTTAAACATAAGTGGAGTGGTCTGATGGCACATGCAGAATTGATATTTAAAGCACACTCCAAGCCTGGGCTGCACTACCAACTATTCTCAACTTTGTGGCTGAGAGCTCTAGTCACAAGTTAACCACCAATTGCTGCCAACCTTAAGCCTGAGAGTCCCAGCCACGAGTTCCCCACCAATAAATTCCATTTTTTAAGATTTCAACCATGGAATCTGCATTTAGAATGAAAGCATCTTGACCATAAAGCTGTACTTCATTTCACTCCGATAAGCCAGGAATACAGGATAAATTTGTTATTTGATATTTCTGTTTTCCATTATTATAAATGAAATCTAAAGAAACTGCTAAAAAACATGTTGTTTAAAAATATAGTACTGAATTGTTCAGATTTTGACATAAAATGTTTACAAAATAAGTTTGAAAAAACATCACCATATATTCCCAAATGATTTGTGTTTTTGCAGCGTGTTTGCAGCAATCTCCTGATAGATCTACATTATGGTTTCTTATATTGTATTTTTTCCATTTTTTTTGCTTTATCAATGAAATTGACAAAATTCTTTTTTGTTTTTCTCATTAGTACACTGAAGAATGTATGCCACTAAATGATATTAAACATATTATATACGTTTAATCTCTTATATGTAGAAATAAATTTTAAACATTGATCCATTCTGTAAAGTCTTGTTATTCCTGAATTGTTGATATTTTGGCAATTGAGTTTTTTTTTTTGTATGTAAATTAATGAAATAAGTGCCTTTAGGATTAATATGAATCAAGCTTTCTGTACAATAGCCGGCAAGTTATAGCATTATGCTGTATTTGCTGGTAACTCTCTTACAATAGGTACATCTTAACTTTAAATGACCTTGTACATATATCAAGCATGCTTCACATCTTCAGAAATATATGCGATAAAATTATCCAATATAAATATATCTTTAGTAATATTCTATACTTAAATTATGTTGATGGCACAAGCCTGATGATGATGATGATAATAGAGACAGTGGCGTAACAGATAGGTCTGAGGCCCCTGGAAGGCTTCTTTGGGGCACACTACACTAAGAAGAAGCCCTGCACGCTTCAGCATATTTCATGTTTTAAGAAAGTAATGTAGTTTGACATCAGTGCTCCTTAAAATGGCCCCAGATAAATATCCTGTGCAGGTAATGAGAGTTAACAGCTTAATTATTTTCTGTCAAAGATATAGAAATCGTTTTTGATGGATAATTTAGCAATGTCCAGATTCCACAGGATTTTACTGGATAATTACATTCATGTAGTTGCATATTATTCTATTGATATTCTGAAGAATAAAACTGTCATCAGGTGTTCTGATTAAAGGTTCAATAAATGTACTTGATTTGCGTAAATTAAAAGACTAAGCATATTTCCGGTGTAATTAATTATGACTTGTAAACTTAATCACTATTTTTGTTTTTTTTCATATTGGACAAACCAGTGTTGGCATTGGTAACAAAATAAACTATATGTATATATTTATTTTATTGCTAGTGATTTTTAGAATATGGGATATTTATAAGTAACATGGACTTATAAGTAAACCCTATAAATGAGGTTTTTTTTTTTATATACAGCAACCTTGAAATACTGAGCTGTTAATTCCAAGTAGTTATTTTATTATTAATTATTAGAATGCTAATTTATGTTAACAGCAGCAGCATGAAAATATATGCTATATAATTTCAGTTTTCTGTTAACTTTATTTTTATATAGGCTGCCCTCCAATAAAATACTGTCCCACTTTTGTGACTAAGGTTGATTGACTTAAACACCATCTGCTCTAATTAGAAAAGTAATAGCTCTAAACAATAAAATGATAAGTGTTGCAGAAATTGCCTTTAAATTTAGGTGGTATATTTAATTAGAGGGAAACCTGTATTTATCAAATTTATAACTACCATTTGTTTTGTTGTTATACTAGGCTTCTTATACTCAAAATTATATTAGATTATAATTATTGTAATCTGACATTTATTATATAATTACAGCTAATTAGATTAGCTTGCATGTTTAATTAATGTTGTACTTGCTTTATAAATATACATGAAAGAAAGAAAATAAATTCTTATTTTCAGACATATATTTTACCAATATTTATTTTGTTATATTGTAATCCAATGGAGAGTGGAGATGTATTATCATTCAAAAAAGAGAAATCTGGATCGTTGCCACATCATTAAAACAACAATTTATTAAGATGTGCACTGAGTTTAATAAAGTTATGAATGTCACTCAAAAAATATATTCTACATTTCACTTTTATTGAATATCATCAGAATAATAATATACATAATACAAAGAGACAAACAGTACAAGTTATTTATTCTTTAAAAAGTAATCAAAATTTATAATTAACAAACACTAACATTTATAAAATTGCATCACAAAAGCATACCAATCTAATAACAAAAACTGTCAAGTCAAAATCAAAATTTTACCTCAGCCTACAATAATAATTTAAAAAAAACAAATCAATAGTCATACTAGGCAAAATGTTGATTTTATAGGATTTTAATGAGCTCATTATATGCAAGCACTAATTATTCAACAGTTAAAAGCAATGTTCCCCGAGTGCCCTCGGGTAAGAATTTGCGAAGCTTCAAATACCAGAAATGGAACACAGTGATTAGTTGATAATGTAAAAGAAAGGAGCTGCACTGCGAGGACATTGTTTACCACTGAAGCCTTCATTGTAACATTGTAATTATTATTATCAGGCCAAAATAAAAATGATTAAAAATTGTTGTGATGTCACTTTGATGATGTGAGTAATCCCACTGAAACGGTTTGTGATGCATCATAGTATCACCGGTAAACACGACTTCATAAAATTCCGCCTCCCCATACCACACTATTGAACGCCAATATTCCACACCACATTGTGTACAACATGCCATGCAGCATGCTCTTTTTGCATCGTTAAGCTCCTCTAATTCTGTTATTCTTCTACTATTACTGTATGTATAGTGTTACGTATGTTTGAATCGGCTAAGAGAGTCAGAAACCAGCACCCTCATTGCATTGAGTGTGTCAAATTGCTGGTAAACAAAGCAGTGATGCTGGTTTCTTCTGCTTACAGTATTTTTACTGGTTTCAGTTTAGGACATTTCAAGGGTTAATTTCCAAGCTTTCTGCTTCCAGGTTTTTTTTTTTTTTCATGTTTCATATCTAGCATCTTGAGCACTTCCTAAGAATATATGTGCTATGCAAATCATATTTTTTATTATTATTACTTTTATGGTTTCCACTAAATGGTTTGATTTACAACTAAACTTGATGATGAATACAATTATTGTATTACTTCCACTCTCAAGAAATGATCAAACTGTCTTATAGTGTAACTCTATGTTAAGTTACAGCTGCAGATTAATTTGGTTCTATGCAATGTCCGATATTATCCAATGGTAATCATTCTTGACAATGCAAATCAGAAACAGTGAATAAAATTGTATCAATATAAAAAATAACTTCCTTGTAATAGCATCATCTGTATTATGTATTTAAAAAATACTGAAAAATACAAATTAATTAAACACACATTAAAAACCTCTACAGAACTTGCTACCTGATTGCAATTACTTTTTCTACTAGATCCAAAGTTCAACTTTCCT